GGCCGGTCTCGTGCTCATGGACTCGGGGTGCTGGGGCGCAGACCGGAGCACCCACTGCGGTGACTCGACCTACGGAGGCGGCATGGCCTACCCAGGCCTGCCATTGCCACAGCCACTCCAATTTGGCGTGAATTCACGATGGGGAGACGAGAATGGGGACAACAGATCCTAAAGTCTACTATCCGGCGGGTTGGACCTAGTGCAGGTTCAGGTAGAGGGTATAGGTGAAAAGGTAAAAAAAAATGCACTTATTGACCCAAACAGGAGACTCAGCCTGTTTGCAAAGGACTAGCAGAGTTAAATGAAAAAAAAATTTTCCTGTTTGGTTTCCCCGATAAATAATCTACCTCAGAGGGGAAAAACATTAGTAAAAGAGAGGTGCAGAGTGGGGAGGTCGATGATGAATGTCAAAGCGCCATAGCTGCGCCCCCGAGCTGTCTTCAAAAATGAATGTGACTGTCCTCAGTATTAAAATCCATCGCCTGCAGGGCTGCAGAGTCGCAGGACTATGGAGAGCCACGGGTTCTCAGGCTTCCACCTGCAGGGGTGGATCCATTTCAAGTATTTATGCAAATGTGTCTCTGAACTAAAGTGTGATCTTGTGCCAGTGCAGTGGTCTGAGCTGGTTCAGTATTTCTTTGGAAAGGGCAGAGGACCCAGAGCCCAAGGACAGAGGCTAAAACTAGGTCAGCTGACCTTGAACACACCCAGGGAAGCTGGCACCTTGCCTCAGTCTCTCGGGCCTTCCTCCTGCTGAATCCGGCTCACTCGAGCTACTCTTCATTATAATCTAGACCAGTGGTTCCCAAACTCGACTGGGCATTAGGATCATCTAGAGGGATTCTTAAAATACGGATTGCTGGGCCCTACCCCAGGAGTTTCTGGTTCAGTGGGTTGCCGGGTGGGGGCGGGGGGCAGGGGGTCCTGAGAATCTGCATTTCTAGAAAGTTCCCAGGTGATGTGGAGCCTGCTGGTTTGAGAACCACTGCCCTAGGGGAAATGTCTGACTCGGAGGTAACAGTGGCAATGTGATGCCTCTGGACTCATTATTCTTTTTTTTTTTTTTTTAAAGATTTTATTTATTTATTTATTTTGAGAGAGAGAATGAGAGACAGAGAGCATGAGAGGGGGGAGGGTCAGAGGGAGAAGCAGACTCCCCGCTGAGCAGGGAGCCCGATGCGGGACTCGATCCCGGGACTCCAGGATCATGACCTGAGCCGAAAGCAGTCGCTTAACCAACTGAGCCACCCAGGCGCCCTGGACTCATTATTCTTGAGGAAGACTATCCCATTCCACTCTGCAAACGTCCCCATCCTCCTTTTGATATACCGACCAGCCAGAGATACCAGATTCTCTTAGGACCTGAGGAATGCTGAACTGTATCTAAGCACCATCATCCCAACGACCTCAGCTCCTTCTCTTCATATCAAACTTTATCCCCACCTCACAACTCTTCTGGCCCCAAAAACTTGCAGTGGTCCCACTCAGCCCTTTCTTTTTTCTTTTTTTTTCTTTTTTTTGAGAGAGAATGCATGCACACATGCGCCTATGTGAGCCGGGGGTGGGCGGCGGAAGGAGCAGAGGGGGAGAGAGAGAGAATCTTAAGCAGACCCCATGCCCAGTGCAGCATCTGATGTGGGGCTCAATCTTACGACCTTGAGATCACGACCTGAGCCGAAATCAAGAGTCGGACACTTAACGGACTGAGCCATCCAGGCTCCCCCCATCAGCCCTTTCTACACAGAGCTGCATTCCCCACCTGCCACCTGAAACCTACCTGAGAGCCCCCAAAATCCCATCTTCCACTCCATATCTCCTCACCTCTTCCTGGCTCAGTCTTCCATGTGGTCGTAGAGGAAAACGTAGTCATTGGTCACAAATGGGTAACATAAAAGGCGACGTCAAGGACTGACATTCTAGTGAAAAGAAGGAACATATATACATTTACGTCTTCCCTTTTTTATCATCTTTGACCCCTTTGTCCTTCTCCTTCACTTTCTCTCAAGACCCCTTCAAATAACTGGTGACCTGGGCAGAGAAGATGCTATGTGGAGCCCTGGGGTGAATGAGGAAAAGGGGCCCTCTGGGGGCACGAGACAAAACAAAGGGGATTTCAGCCCCTACAGTGCCCTCGGCTGGTCGCTGCTGGTCACCTCTGTGTGGTGCACAACGCCACACTGTGGCCTTCGACACGGAGTTGGCCACTTTTTCCCTGTCTGCTGACTCGTTAGTGAGTGGGAGGCCAGGCTTACCTAAACATAAACAAGCACACACACAGGCATGTTGAGGATGACTAGTGAAACCAGATTTTTCCTTGCTGTGCCCCAGTTTTGTTGAGACTGACGTATGTTTCTGCAACTCTTCGTCTCCTTCTGTTTCTCATTCTCCCCAAAATAACCAAGGCCAGGCGTGTGCCCCATGAACTGCCCATATCAATCCAGCGGTGCTTTCCCTGCTGGCACAGCATTTGCCCTGGAGTTCAGCTCGCGGCAGAACGGCTGATGTGCAAAGCAGAATGGAATCCAGCTTGGCTCTTGCTTGCTGTGTGGGCTCGGCCAGGCTCACAGGATACATACTTGTTTGTGTCTGGAAATTCAACAGCTGCAGCGCAGGTACTCAGCAAATAAATCTGCAGAGAGAGACCACACCATCATTTCCCCTGGCCAACCTCGACCACTCTTTTAGCCAGAGAAGGGAAGACTACATTTCCTCTGCTGAGAGTTTGCATTTTCCAGCTAGTACTAGCGTCCCCTAAAGTCCTTAAGGCCCTGACTCGACAGGTAACTGCAGCGGTCATTCATCTGGATCCTCCAAACACCTGCCAGAAATACTTCAGAGGTGGTACGTTAGCATCAACATTCATTTCTTTCATCCTCAGGATAAGTGAATCCTTGCCTGGGGTTTACTCTCTGCCCTTTATTCCCCTGTAGCTGACCAGAAGGATTTGTTCCAAAACTATGCAATATTATTGCTCCCCAGCCCACTTTAGCAAACCATCCCCCTCCCAGGAACATGGTCCAGGGGTGATGAGGCCATCTTCCCACTAGCTCCACGCCCCACATCTTGCCCCTCTGATGATGTTCACTAGGTTCTTCGTGTTTGGGCCTTTTAACCAAGTGGGCCCTCATAATAAGGACTGTCCCTCCTCCCAGGGTCTGAGCCTCCCCTGATTGAAGGAAAAGAGGCTCCTGAGCCCACGGCAATCTCTGCTCCACATGCTCTGCCTCAGATCACCAAGCCCCTTCGAAAAGCAGCCATGTCCCCTTCACTTTTGGGAATGAGGAATGGTTTGTGAGAGTGAACAGAAATATGGAATCTACCAATGAGAATCAGATGTAGTATTATCCTTAGGTTCCCAGATTTCTGCTGCCACAGCCCTATCCCTTCCTTGTGCCTCTTCGGTCAGTTGAAGCTCAGTTACGGGATATAGAGCCAAAACAAAACATGAGGTAGGGTGACCACGAGGAAGACGATGAAGGCAACATTTTAAGCAAGGTTAAGCTACCGTCCCCGACACCTGTCCTTCTCCGCCCTGACTCTGCTCTATGCAGAGTGGGAGGGAAGGCCCTAAGGAAAGAGAAGTGTATCCACCTCGCCAGCATTCCCCACCCCAAGGCCTCGAGCAGGCGTGCCCGTGGGCGCCAGGACAGAAGGCAGAGAAGGGGAGGGAGGCAGCCCCACTCCCGCCCTTGAGAACTATGAACAGGTTTGCCCACCTTTGGTGGCCCTTGGCTGCAGGACAGTATGTCTGTCTGTGAGAGCTCTCTTCTGGCACAGCGTATTTTCCTGTGGTCCTTCAAGAAAACTGCATGTGGGGCGCCTGGGTGGCTCAGTTGGTTAAGCGACTGCCTTCGGCTCAGGTCATGATCCTGGAGTCTCTGGATCGAGTCCCGCATCGGGCTCCCTGCTCGGCGGGGAGCCTGCTTCTCCCTCTGACCCTCCCCTCTCTCATGTGCTCTCTCTCTCTCATTCTCTCTG